CCTCTGTGCACGGCCGTAATTCCCATCGCCGTGGACGTTAGCGGTTTGTAAAGCTCCCCACGTGACACAGAGCTGGGCACTTGCAAGGAAGTCCACCTGCCGCCGGAAGAGGCCCCGGTGCTTCTAGAAGCTTGAGAGGGGCTCAGCCAGCCGGGGTGGAGGAATAAGCCATGGGGGATCCCACCATCTTCCAGGCCAGCCTGGAAGAGGCTCTCCTAAGGGTCCTCAGAACTCACTTCCCACTTCCGGCCCCCACATCCGGTCAGTTCCATTCTCCTTGGTGATTTTTCCAGCCGGCCCCTGCTCCCCATTCCCACTCCCACCCCCACACCTTCTCCTGCCAGATTATTTTTAAGACTCCTTTCTCACCTCCTTGCCTCCAGAGTCCGCAAAGAGAATAGTCTCTTTCAAAATGCAAACGTGATTCCACCAGGCCTTGGCTCAAAGTCAGACCTAATTTGTTGAGTGGATTCACAAGGTCAGACAGCAAGACCATTTGGCTCCGGGACAGTCCCTGAAAGCTTGGTCTCTGTCCCCGGTGCCGAATCAAAGTGACAAGGACAAGGCTGGAGGACAAAGGAAGGAGAAAGTTTAATCTCTGTGGACAGGGCCGGGAGCAGATTAGCAAACTCAAGCGCTACTGTACTGCTTAGTAAGAGCTGCGGGGGGGGGGGGGGGGGGGTGGGTTTCCAAAAAAGGGGGGGGGGGGGCCCCTTTTGGGGGGAGGTGGGGGCAAGGCCAAAACCGGCTCGCCCGGTACCGGGAAAGCCCCAGCAAACTGCCCCGTAATCCTTGTGAAAAGGTGCAGGGGCCGAAAGTGCCGGGTTGTCTGTAAGAGCAAGTCCTAAGAGTTAAAGCGTTCCCACAGCATGGGCAAACAGAGAAGCCTGTGGCCTGGCCTTGAAGCCTAACATAACATATGCTTTGTGATGGCGGCCTGGAAGCCAGCGTTTGGCTGGACTCAGTGGGAGCAGACTTGTGCACTGTGGTGAAATCTGCCGCCTCGCATTTGATTTCGCCGATTTCGCCGAGAACCAAGCCCAGCCTTTTTCAGATCACCCTGTGCCTGGTTACAGAACCACGTTACCAGAGTTCACATACAGGCTTTGCGGCTTAACTGGTGGTGTAACTTGGACTGGTTTTTCAACCTCCCTGTGTCTCAGTGACCTCATCCCTGAAATGGCAAAGATGGTAACACATCACTATGGTATCTGTCTGCTACAGATCACAGGCTCGGAGCCTGGCCAGTGGTGATCACGGAGCAAGAATTTGTTCTTAGTAATAGTACTATTGGGTCCTTGCCTGATCTTCAGCCACTCCCCCCTCACCACTTGTGCACAATGGTCCCTTGTCTCTATGTCATTATCCCTGCTATTGCATGATAATTTTTCAAGTCCTTACATGCCACTCAAGGCTCACCGTCCTCCCCACTTCTGCAAGAAAAGGCCCTTTGTCTTCTCTAAGAGAGCACTGAGAATTTTACATTTTAAGGGCAAGGGTTTGGTCTAGAAGTTAGGGCACCCGTGTCCCCTATCTGGATTTGTGTCCTGGCTCCCAATTCTAGCTTACCGACAATGCAGAGCCTGGGGGGCAGTGGCGATGGCTCAAATAGTTGGGTCCCGGCCACTCACATGGGAGACCTGGATTGGGTTCCTGGCCCCTGGCATCAGCCTGGCCCAAATCCCAGGGCTCCCAGCTTTGGTCAGCACCATTAGAGATGTCTGAAACCAATGCAGTGGATGGGAACCCTTCTCTATAAATAAAACATGTTTAAAAGAGAGAAAATTGACATTTTGTTTCTTCGGGATGTCCTGTCCCTTTCTAGTAAGAAAGTAGGAAAAATGTATTCCTAGCACACAGCACAATTCCTGCAATGTGTGTTTCAGTAAGTATTTGTGAAGTTAAGGAAGGCTAGCTTTAGCAAGAGCAGGAAGTGGGCCACAGAGTGGCTTACAGAGGAAGGTTTGTGTGGGCACCTGAAGGACACGGGGTGAGGCGGATCATTTTGGTTGAAAGGGAAGTTGGCCCAGTGACTATGGTTACCGGGGACTAGGGACTCGATGTCTAGGCATAGAGTGGTCTGTGGCACTCTGTTGTTGATGCTTTCATTCATGCCCCTGGTTTCCACATTTTAGAAGCCATTAAGTAACCCTACTGCATGGCCCAATATGGCAGTCACTGGGTTGACTCTTCAATCTAGGGCTACCCGAATGAAACTTAATCTTAAAATCTCAGTCCCTCAGTCCCGCTAGCCTCATCTCAAGTGTTCTGGTGCCACATGGAGCTGGTGGGCTGCCACGGTGGACACAGACAATGTGCACTCTTTCCTTCCGTCATCACAGCAGAGGGTCTGGAGCGCAAAAGCTTAGTAGGCTGAGGGCTGGGTCCCGTGGACTTCAAGGTTATTTTTTCTTCTCATTTGTTTTTCATTTTCAAGTTGTGGAGACCAACATTTAAGACCAGGATGAGAGGAAGTAACCCAAACAAGCAATCTGGAGGCACTGGACTTGGCTTCTCTCCAGGCTGTGGAAGCTGAGCTGGGCAGCACCGACCCCCTCTCTCACCTCCTCACCTCAAACACGTGGGCGTTGTTTCTACTGATCTCAAGGAACTTCCTGTCTGTGGTGTGCTGCTCCTCCTTGCAACACACACTCCATCCAGGGGGCCTTAAAGGGCTTGCATCCTGTGCCACCCCCACACCAACACAGAGGCTCTGCTAGGTGCTCAGGAAAACAGGAGGGTAAGTGAAGAAACAAACAAAAAGTATTTCAAGAGGAAAGAAGCAAGCAACAGTATTGAGTGCTGCTGAGGTGTGTTGTCATTGAAACCCCGTTGTCTAAGAGGTACAGGCGGAGAAACTGAGGCACAAGGTGATATATTTACCTGTTTGAGGTCTTAGAGCTTGTAACCCAGCCTGACTCAGGCATCTGAGCTCTTCACGGCCACACTAGTTCTTTAACTCTGTAATCACTTGATTGATGGCTTCGTTATTGTGTCTGTCTTAGGGAATATCTTAGCTCAGGCTGCTGTAACAACATGCTGCAGACCGGGTGGCTTAAACAGCAGACATTTCTGTCTCACAGTGGTGAAGGCTGGGAAGTACAAGATCAAGCTGCAGGCAGATGTGTTTCCTGGGGAGGCCTTGCTCCCTTCTCCCTGAGTGCTCACACTTGGAGAGACACATGTCTTCCTCAAGAGGGTCCTACCACCCTGACCTAATCTAAACCTAATCATCTCCCACCTCAAAATGCCGCCGCGTGAAGGGTTAGGGCTTTAAAACCAGGGCATATCCAAAAGTTCATGGAAAATGGAACTAAAAGATACTTTGATACAAAAAAAATGGAATCCAGGGATAGTTTGTTTTACTATGCAATTTGCATAAACTGGTTTGGCATACTTTCGTGTATCTCATAAAGGTATAGAAATCATAATACATGAAGAACACTTGTAACTCAACAGTGAAAAGACAAACAATCCAATTAAACAAACAAACAAACAAAAAAAAAAAAGAAGAAGAAGAAGAAGTTAAAGGGCCAGCTCTGTGGCACAGTGGGTTAAAGGCCCAGCCTGCAGCACTGGCAAACCATATGGGCGCCAGTTCAAGTCCTGACTCCACTTCTAATCCAGCTCCTTGCTAATGCACCTGGGAAAGCAGCGGAAGATGGCCCAAGTGCTTGGACCCATCACCCACAAGGGACACCTGGATGGAGTTCCCGGCTCCTGGTTTCGGCCTGGCCCAGCCCTGGCTGTTGTGGCCATCTGGGGGAGTTAACGAGTGGATGCAAGATCTTTCTCTGCCTCTTCCTCTCTGTAACTCCACTTTTCAAATAAAATAAATGCATCTTTTAAAAAAAGGTAGAATGAGAAGCTCGTGTGCGGCGGCGGTGTCGGCAGTGGCTGCAAAGAGAAGAGTTTGGCGCGATGTCTCATACCATTTTGCTGGTACAGCCTACCAAGAGGCCAGAAGGCAGAACTTATGCTGACTATGAATCTGTGAATGAATGCATGGAAGGTATTTGTAAAATGTATGAGGAACATCTGAAAAGAATGAATCCCAACAGTCCGTCTATCACATACGATATCAGTCAGTTGTTTGATTTTATTGATGATCTGGCAGACCTCAGCTGCCTTGTTTACCGGGCTGATACCCAGACATACCAGCCTTATAACAAAGACTGGATCAAAGAGAAGATCTATGTGCTCCTCCGCCGGCAGGCCAACAGGCGGGAAAATAATGGAGTGGAAGCAGTAGGGGGATGGGGGTGGGCTTGGAACACAGGTGTGTACAGCGTGCTGTAGTGGGAGTTTTGTATTATAGTGATCCTGTTTCCACTTGGTACACTCTAGCCAGATTGAATGTATAAGATGAAGTGTGAGAATGTTGTTCAATCTGAAACCCCCATTGCCCCTTTTTTCTTTTCTTTTTCTTCCCTTTTTTTTTTTTTACTTAAACATTTTTATGAGGATTTAGATGGAATTTTTTTGTCAGTTAATGTTGGTTCCAGAGCTTCAGACTGTTGAGATCTGCTTTATAACAGTCACTGTACTAACCCTTAGAGATGGGGTGGGGGGTGGCTCAGTTTAGTTACATCCTCAAGGCAAACTCTTAGTGGAAAATAAATGTTCTTTAGTTATAAAAAAAAAAAAAGGTAGATTGAAATACACAAAAGATGTTAAAATCTATGTGGTCACCATGCTACTAAAAAGATCTAGTTGTGTTTGTAGGACACTACTGAACCGGGATTCTGAAAACTGGCAAATAATGGAAAAAAAAAAAAAGGACCCATTTATCCTGCCTTTCCTGTATGACTCGTATCTCATGGAAAATTCTTACTGATAAAAGAATTCTAGCTGGTAGATGCAGAAGAGGGCTCGAATTAGGCCATCCCCATTTTGCAATCGCTATTGAAATCATGCAGTTAGGCAATGAGGACCCGTGGTACCATTAGGTGAGAATGGATGAAGAATTTTATCACGGGTGGCTCAGCCTGACCGCACCCGAAGCCACCACTCAGACTTCAGCACCACAGACAGACAGACACACAGACAAGCAGGATTCCTGATGAGGTGAACAGAAAGTACAAACCATCCCTCGGGATGTGATCTTACCAGAAAACTGAATGACACATAGATCAACCATTAGACCTGACCATCAGTTTGCAGGAAACACAGTGCCAGGAGAGAATGAAATGACGCCACACGTGGCCCAGTATCTTCAGCAAGAAAAGAAGGAAGGTGAGGTGATGGGGAGGAGGGCAAACCCAAGATTAACAGAGATTTCAGACATGTCAGCCAAGTGGACTTTATTTGTACCCCAATGCACACGTGTGGGGTTGTGGTGGAGGGGAGGGGGCAACAAAGCTGACCACGTGCTGACAACTGTTGAGGCAGAGCAGTGGCCCTCCCAGGGGTTTGTTATACTGTTTCATTTTTACGTTGTGTTTGAAATTTCCTAGGATGCCAAAAAATGAAAAGTTTGCAAGTTCTTTTGTCACCAATTCAAATGCTGAGATGCTGAATCCAGCCCTGGAGTGAGTGGCCACCTACGGGAGGACAGCTGGTCACCCGCAGCACAGCCCATGGCCACCAGCAGGCTCGAAAACGCAGGCAAGAAACGACTTTCTCTGAGGCAAGTTTCTGTGAACCAAGGTGTGGACAAGGACAAAGCAAACCTAGGCTGCCCACTCCCTGTTCATGAGTCCACACCTAAGGACCTGAGAACTCGGTTTGTACTGTCTAGCCCGTCTCCTAGGCAGAACGCCTACTGAGCAGAATGCTCCAAACCTCCAGCTGTTGAACGCAAAATCCTTGGGTCACCTTGACTCTCCCTTTTCCTCACCCACCCACAGGCCCCGAGCCAGACCCTCTCCCCAATCCTTCTGCTTTGCTCCATCGTCTTTGCTTCACCCTGTCCTTTCTGGATACTTCTATGGCTTCCTCGTTAGTCTCTCCATATTGCAACCTGGGTCGTGGAGAATACGAATCTGACCACGTCGCGCCTGGTGGCTGCAAGGCCTGCCGCGACCACGCTCCACCTCCTTTTGGGCTGCCTACCACTAGGCTTTGCAGTGCAGGCTGACTTGAAGGCTGGGGTTACTCTCCTCAGAAGCGGGGAGGGAAGCCCCTTGGGTGTGCGCAAGCAGCAGGGGTCTTCCTGGAGCCCGTGCGGCCGGTACCTCGGAGACCCCGGAACCAGAGCTGAGCCTTGCGTCCCAGGCAGCTCCAAACCTCCTGTGCGGGACGCTTCGTCCACGCTCGCCCTGTCCAGTCCCGGCGGGGCCGTCCCTAGGCTGAGGCTGCCACCATCTTCTGCACTATGCAAATCCCTCACCGAACCCGGCAAAGATGTCTGGGGTGCTCCGACCACCAAGGGCTCCGTGACAACGGGCCTGCCGGACAAGGTAGGTCCAGTGAACGTTCCACGTTGGGCTCAGGGCACAAGGAAGCTACGAGGACGGAAAGGGAAGACCGCGTCTGAGCCTCCAACCTAAGACCGGCACGCCGGCCGCAGCAGAGTCCGCGAGCAACTCCTCCGCGGACAGGCCATTCCCGGCAATGCAGCCTGGGACCGCGCCGCTCCGGACCCGAGCAGCCAGCGAACCCCCGGACGTAGTCCTCCGGGTAGGAAGCTGGCGGCCGCAGCGGGGTCCCCGAACACGGCGAACTCGCACGACGGCGGCTCGAGAATTTACGGCTCTCGCGAGATCTTCAGAACCCGAGGCGCACGGTCCGCGTACGCAGTTACCAAGGCAACGGGGCGGCCCCTGAGGCGCGCGAAGGCCGCGGGCCGGGAGAGGTTTCCCAGCGTCGCCGGCCGCGGCCCTGAGGAGCATGAGCCGGATCTCGGGGCTCGTGCCCTCCCGCTTCCTGACGCTGCTGGCGCATCTGGTGGTCGTCATCACCTTATTCTGGTCGCGGGTAAGACCCACGGCCGCCACTCCGCGTCGCCATCTCGCCGTGGTCGCCGCGCCCACCCCGCCCGGGGTCTCAGCCGGCCTCTCTCACTTCCTTTCCTTTTCTGCCTGCTCCCCAGGACAGCAACGTCCAGGCCTGCCTGCCCCTCCGATTCACCCCCGAGGAGTATGAGAAGCAGGACGTGCAGTGAGCTCTTGGGGGGGGGGGGTTCCGAAGGAAGAGGCGGTGGGAGACGGGAGTCCCGGAGGCCGGGGGTCCTGAGCCGCTCCCCTTCCTCTCTGCAGGCTGGTGGCCGCCCTCTCGGTCACCCTGGGCCTCTTTGCCGTGGAGCTGGCCGGCTTCCTCTCAGGAGTGTCCATGTTCAACAGCACCCAGAGCCTCATCTGTATCCTTTCTGCCCCCACGACCCGTTTCCAGCGCGACTCCCTTCAGCGACCCCCCCCCCCAGGAGCCCCGCCTCTGCTTAGGCAGTGCAGGGATTTGACACAATCCTCAAACAGTTGTGGATGCCGCTGTGCACCGGGCCCTGGAGGTAAATGGGGGTGAGGCGGAGGCAGACACACACACACACACCCCACTATCCTCTAGGAGGGGGTAAAAGAGCCAAGGATTGAGGGAGGCGCTTGACTCTCCAGTTGCGGGCCTCCTGGTGGAGAGTGATTCCAGCAGAGAGGATCAAGTCGCTGTCCGCATTCCTGTGGGGTCCATGGGGGCCTGCTCTGACCTCCCCTCGGGGGTGCAGGCTGGCCCCTCCATGTGGGGTGAGGGTAGCCTGGGGTCTCGGCAGTGCAGGCTCAGCGCAAGCCGCTACACGTGGGCCTGTTAAAATCAGAAGGCAGGGCTGCTGACTCCCGCCGTCGCACAAGGCCTGGGAGCTCCACCACTGGCCTGCCATAGCCCGTCGCTGTTGTGGCCCCAAGACTTTCCTTGACTCCTGTGTGTCGCCCACAAGCCATCGGAGCGCACTGTAGTGCATCTGTAGCCCTGTCGTTCTTCATATTCGAGCGCTGGGAGTGCACCACGTACTGGTACATTTTTGTGTTCTGCAGGTGCGGTTAGCACCCAGTCTCGGGGGTGGGGAGGAAGGCTCGCCCCATCCAGCTCTTCCCTGAATGTTTGAGACACCAAGACCACATCCTGTGGTCCTTTGAAGTCCCCCCTCCAATCCCACCCTCTACACTTCGGGGCTGGGATGTCTGGTTTGGAGATTCGGGTATTTATGTTGGAAGGGGGCCTGACCCCACCACCTGCCTTCCACAGCGCCCTCCCAGCTGTCACTGAAGTGGCATTATTCATCGCCGTCTTTGGGCTGAAAAAGAAACCCTTCTGATCATCCTCACTGCAAGAACGTGGAGAACAGGGCTGGGGGAGCCAGAAGCTCCCGTTCCTGGCAGGACAGCGTCGCCGCGCCCCGGAAACTGCTTCTGGTGGAGGATGTCGGTGTTGGGATAATTGTCTGGGATTATCAGCGTTTTAGTCAGTGCTTTGTAATAAATAAAATCTATTTTATAATAAGATCAAAATTTATACAATTTTCAGGGAACAATTGAGTTGGCCAAACTACTGCAGAGAGACTGCTTTCCAGCCCATAGAACAACAAGGGTCGCTTCTATTTGGGGTATTACGGTAGACAGCTGGCGGCAGGGAAGGGCGGAGATATGCAAATAAGATTGTGTATGCTCAGAACTCCCGAGCACGTGAGGGAGCAGAGCATTCTGGGAGGAGTTAGTTTATTCCTTTTTGGCAATTGAATTTAAAAAGTTTTTTTTTTAACGTTACAAATAAATGTCGAAATATGATTGAAATAATTCAAAGCAACTGGGTTTCTCCGACTAACGCGTTGCGTATTCACCCTAGGTCTTAGGGGCATCTGCTCCTCCGAATGCGGAATGGCCGGGGCGGGCCGGTATCGTCAGGTGGGATAATCCTTACCTGTTCCTCCTTTTGGAGGGCAGATAGAACATGATGATTGGAGTTCGCATGATGCGTGATTAGCGTCTCTGCGTAATCAGGACTTGCAACACCCTGATTGCTCCTATCTGATTCTTCCTGACGATCACCTTCATCTTTTTGGTTTGTGCTGAACGATAGATGTGGGTTGTGGGAGAGTTGTTTCGGCTTGGGGTACACTGGTTTGTGTTCTGGTAGATAGGAGTTTCATTTCTTCCTGAGAATGTTTTCCTGCGGGTACTGTGTTTTTCCGTGCGCCTGTGTGATTCCTGTCCCTGGTGGTCTACTTTCTCCCCTTGGCCCACATTGGAAACCCTGGAGAAACCAAAATTTTAGCTAATTGCCCTGAGTAGAGGACATCTTTTGATTCCCTGTGAAATGGTGGTTCCTATCAGCCACCCTGGGTGTCACAAGTGTTTTACTTAATGGTCCTGGCAAGAAGGGTGGACTCCTCTGGTGGGTACCCCACCTGAAAACCTGACAATGCACCCCTGTTCAGTCTTGTCTGATGAGACCACCTCCTGAAGAAAGCTGTTAAAACGCATTGACACAATAGGACACTGTACAGATAGGCGAGTTTACAAGAGTCTACAGTTCTGTCATATAAATATTCTCAGGGTTCTGTGTAAGCTGGGAAGGTTTCTCTGTAGGTTTTTTAACCCAGAGTGGTGGAGTCCAAGCTGTTCCAAATAACCGAAAAGCGTCTGGTGTTGCCTTTCAGGTGCTGCCTCACACACATAACCTTTCCTTCTGCCCCCTGGCACTGCAGCCCTTCATCCATAACATTCATTCAGTGAGTGCTAATTGAGCACACACTGAATGCAGAAAGCCCTGAGCCCTGACCCCTACTCAGTCGACCCTGCTGTGGAACAGGGGTTACTTTGCTCAAGGAGGCAGGAGTGGTGTCACTTCCATGAGAGCGTGACCGGAGCAGAGAGGAGTAGGAGACTTGATCTGGAGGGTTCCGTCCCGTCACAGTCTGCCTCTCAGTCCCACCCAGTGCAGTGCTCCAACCACCTTGGGGGAAATGACTGTTCTTCAGTAACTTTCTGAGCCAGGTGATAAACACAGACATTATTAAAATTTAATTATGTAAACTTACAGTTAAATATTTTCAACGAGATAATAAGTACTCAAAGCCCATTACTTCCTGATCATTTTACTATAAAATGTTCTTAAGGTTGACTGCATTTGTATGGTGGAAATACTGTATAATGATTTTCGACTGTGCATCTCTTCTCTTAGTGATGAGTTGGCATTGGTGGAAATCTATACACCAAAGAAATCGGCGGATGCTACAAATCAGTCCTTGTAGGTTGTCTGGATTTTAAGACAGAGATGGAGAAAAATATTAATAATGCAGATTAAACTTCAAAGTGTTATCTCTGCAACTGTCACATTGTGAATAGCACACAAATCTGAGAAAATATTCTCCCAGAATTTGAGAACTATTATCAGAGCCAATAAAGAAGTACCTGTGAAAGCAGTGAAGTCTCAACAGATAACATCATTGTTTCATTTTGTCATGAATGAAGATAGGAACCAACATTCACATTGGACTAAGCTTGTAGTTTGGATGCAACATTTATGAAATAATATATTAATTTTTGAAAGATTTATTTATTTTATTTGAAAGCAGAGTTACAGAGAGGCAGAGAGAGAGGTCTTCCACCCAGTGGTTCACTCCCCAGATGGCCACAACGGCCAGAGCTACGCTAATCCGAAGCCAGGAGCCAGGAGCTTCTTCCTGGTCTCCCACGGAAGTGCAGGGACCCAAGGACTTGGGCTATCCAAGAGGGCCATAACAGAGGCAGCTGCAGCAGTCTCCTAACCACACACTTCTTATCCTCATTGCAGACAAGGGACAGCCAGGAACCCCCCAGACCAGAGACTCTAGGAAGCAGGCTGCGGCGCTTGAACTGGCTCCCATATGGGATGCCAGCACTGTAAGAGGTGGCTTTACCACTATGCCACAGAAGAGGAATTTACAATAAAGAATATGGTACACTTTATTATTTGTAAATTCTGTACTATATGTACTTTTATCGGTACAGTTTATAATAAACGTACATATGTACAGAAATGCATACCGGTTTTGAGAGCTGGCTGTTAACCATTCGCCAGCACGCACACTCTGCCCCTGCCATCACCAGGGACTGCCTTGTTCCCAAATTCAGAGTCGCCGCTCAGACTCGAGCTCCACAGCTCTGAAGTGTTGACTTCGCCGCCTTCTGACCCTTCTCCTCCCTCGGCTCCAGAATAGTGCTGCCCCTGGCTTGAGTGCCCACAGTGCGTCCATCTCTGGGGACGCAGTACGGGTCTGTCTCCTCTGCTTGTCTCCTTGGGCGACTTCACCCACCTCTTGTCCTCAACCAACAATGTGAGCCCTCACCCTACCTGCCAGGTCCAAGAGCACTTTCTCCCCTTCTTGCCTGTGAGAGGGGCAGCAGGTCACCTACCCTCTCTCTGCCTCAGTTCCCTCATCCGTACTCCAGCAGTAGCTACCATGAACTCCTGTCTTGACCCAGACCAGGGGCTTTGCCGGTTAGCATCAGAAAGAGAATGCACTCTGTTGTGAAACTAGTGGTGTTCTAGAGAGGAGGGCTGTCCCGGAGATGGTAGCGAGGCTTCACCGTCTCCAACAAAGGCCTGCAGCCTGAACCCTGATCGGTGGCGCCGCGGCCTGCTTCCTGGGGTCTCTTTGGTCTGGGAGGTTCCTGGCTGTCGCTTGTCTGCAATGAGGATAAGAAGTGTGTGGTTAGGAGACTGCTGCAGCTGCCCCGGTGAACCTGTTCCTGCAGGGGTCAGGGACCTCACTGACCTGAGAGAGCAGACGTAAGATCCAGCTTCCCACTAATGGGCCCAGGAGCAGTGCACGATGGCCCAAGTACTTGGGTTCTCGCCACTCTTGTGGGAGACCCGGATGGAGTTCCTGCATGAATGGTTTCAAATCTGATTGCTAACTCTCCGGGAGAAGTACCTGTAGGTACAGCAGAATTCTCCCACAGCTCAAGCTTTGTTCCAGGTGGTGGGGTTGGGGGAGGGGGAGGGCAAGCTGCCGATGCCTATCAAAGGGACCAAATTGGCTCCGGTTAGTTCACAGCAATATCTCTTCTTCGGTTGTTGAGAGGATGAGCTGGGATAATCCAGGTGCCTGTGTGGGGAGAGTTGACTTCCATCCTATCCCGGTGACATCTGTTGTCTGTCCCCGTTCACCACCGATCCTTTTTTATTTTTCTTCCTGGTAGCAGCACCCCCATTTTCCTTTGGGATTTTCCCACGTTGACCACGAGGTCCAAGCCTGGCCAGTAAGAATGTCCCATTTTTCCCAGCCACAGTGATTGGCTGAGGCATGAACCTTGCCGATCCAGGACTTTTGCGGGAAGTTTTGGGAAAGAGGAGCCTAGTCTGAGAAATAAAAGCACCCTGTGGAATAAAATGATGGAAACACCAGTAGGCCAATGGAAAACGTAAGACAGCCCAGACGCAGGACTCGATATATAGAATTTAGTAGATAATAAGGAGGTTACTTAAAAATCAGTGTGCGTGGGGCTGGCATTGTAGTGTAACGGGTTAAGCCTCCGCCTACAATGTTGGCATTCCACCCGGGGCCACATCCAGTTCTGGCTGTCCTACTTCCAATCCAGCTTCTAGCTAAAGCACCTGGGAAGGTGGCAGAGGATAGCTCAAGTCCTTGGGTCCCTGCCCCACAGATGAAACTCCTGGCTTCGGCCTGGTCCACTCCTGGCCATTGCAGCCATTTGTGGAGTGAACCAGTGGATGGAAGATAATCTTAAAAAAAAAAAAAAAATCAGTATTGGGAAGGTTTGGTGCAATGGTTAAGAGCCTGCTAGGGACACCCATGTGCCATATAGGTGAGCACCCATATCCCATTAGGTACGCTGGGCTCTGCTCCTGATTCGAGCTGAAAGACAGCTGATGGCTCCAGTACTCGGGTCCCAGCACCCATGTGGGAGACCCAGATTGAGTTCTAGGCTCCTGGCTTCAGCCTAGTCCAGCTCTGGCTGTTGTGGGCACTTGGGGAGTGACCCGACAGACCCGACAGATAGAAAATCTCACGGGGGTTAAACCGTCATTTGCAATGCTGGCATCCCATACTGGAGCACCAGATGGAGTCCCAGCTACTCTGCTGATGAGCCTGGGAAGGCAGTGGATGTGGCCCGAGGACTTGGTTCCTGTCCCCCATACGGGAGACCCAGACAGAGTTCCAGACTCTTGGCATAAGCCTGGCCCAGACTGTCTATTGAGACCATTTGAGGAGTCAATAGGCAGATGGTTGATCTCTCTCTCCCTCTCCCCTCCCCTCCCCTCCTCTCCTCTCCTCCCTCCCCTCACCTCCCCCGTCTCCTCTCCTCCCTTTCTCTCTTGCTCTGGTTCACCACCTTTCAAAGAAATACATGTTTTTTAAAAGACAAAAAGTTTTCAGACAGTAGGGAAAATAGGGATTAGTCAACGAAAATCATTAGAAGAACTGAGTAGCTAGCCATCTGGGGGAAATATTGAATAACGCTTCAGAGCGTTAAAGAGAGAGAGAGAGAGAGAGAGAGAGAGAGAGAGAGAGAGAGAGAGAAGGACCGCATAAAGGACTCAAAGAATCCGGGAGCGGGTGTTTGGCTACTGGCTAAGACTCTGGTTGGGATGCTCTTGTCCTGTATCAGGACACCTGGGTTTGAGCCCCGGCTGTGCTCTGGATTCCAGCTTCTTGCTCGTGTGCACCCTGGGAGGCAGCAAGTGGAGGTTCCAGTGGCTCGGGCCCTGCTAGCAGTGAGGGAGATCTGGATTGCGTTCCTGGCTCCCAGCCTGGCCATGGTGCTGGCCAGTGCAGGCATTTTGGAAGGGAACCAGTGGAGGAAAGCCCTCTCTCTGTCTGTTTAAAAAAAAAATAATAAAGGGGGAGGGCCAGTGCTGTGGTATAGCAGGTTAAAGCCCTGGTCTACAGCACCGGCATCCCATGTGGGCGCCAGTTCGAGTCCCAGCTGCTCCACTTCTGATGCAGCCTTCTGCTATGGCCTGGGAAAGCAGAGGAAGATGGCCCAAGTCCTTGGGCCCCTGCATCCACTTGGGAGACGCAGAAGAAGCTCC